ATTTTAAATATTTCATAGGGGGAAGTAGGGAGGAACACACATTTTGCATAATATTTCTCTTTGTAAAAGAATTGCGAATAATCTTTATGATTGTTCTTAATTTTGATACTTGCCTGTCTACTTTCTTAAATATTTTCTGTACTACTAAATTGAGTATATGTGCAAAACATCGCACATGTAAAATTTCACAATTTGGGTGTTTTATACGAAGAATTTTTATGAAAGTAGAATTAGAGCTAGGATTATCGCAAGTAATTGCTATCTTACTTATGTCGATATTTTTTATAATTTGAGAAAACTCTCTATAAATATTTTCACCAGAATGCGAATCAGTAAATGGAACTATATCCAATAACAATGATTTCATCTCCCATTTTTCATCAATAAAGTGGCAGGTCAACCAATGGTACATTAGTAGGGCTTGACCATATATCAGTTGTAAAGTTAATTTGGCATTTAAAATTATTTATAATTATTTTAACTTTATTGAATTCTTTATTAAAAATTTCATTTATATATAGTTTAATTGACGGTATTGAGCATATTTTTATTTCAGGATTTAAACCTCTAACGAAGGTCATGAATTCCTGAGTGGCGAGATTTTTAAAAGGTATATTTGACTTTAGCAAAAATTTTAATAAATAATGCTTAACATCATCAGCATTTGTTTTGGGTATATCATTTAAATAGTTTTTAATAGTATTATTTTGTTTTTGATGAAATCTTTTGTTATGATTAATTAATGCTGACGTAGTTTTTTTCTTGCACATTATCTCCACATTGCATATTTTACATTTAGCTGTTTCTTTTTTAGCATCATGGAGATAATGATTCCATATTAAAGAATTTTTCCGCCTAGCATTAAAAGGTTCAGTTTGATCAGAGATTGATGTAGATCTTGAACTATTTGAGGATTGACTATGTCCTTCACCACATCTTCTTCCATCAAGATTTTCTAATTGATCTTTGAATATATTTTAACATTATATCATATAAAATCCAAGTTTACCATCCTTCCTGAAATTCCAGATTAATGACACATTAGAAGCTGAAAGAAAAAAACAGTAAATTAATTAAACAGTGGTATAGGCATGGGGGGGGGGTGTCTTTTTTTAAAAAATAAAATTATTTTAATTTACTATTTTTATTCCTATTATGAATTAGCAAAACCTTAGAGAAAATTAGACCTATCTTTATAAATTCAAATCAAAAATAGCAATATGATAATATTAGTTTTAAATAATATTTATTTTTGTAAAATAAATTCTTAGTTATAACATTTATATAATTTTTGTATTAATTCTTAAAATTTATGGAAATACTATTTTAATCAAAGTACAGTGTATTATTTTTATATTTTTTTAAAATTTATATTTTATGTAATTGTTAAATTACATTTTTTTAAATAGTTTTTCTACAATAAAAATTTTAAAATAATCTATATAAAATATCTACATTTTAAAATTTATTTTAAATATTTGCATAATATATAACAAATTTTAGAAAATATTTCATTATAGTTTTATTTATTAAAAATACTTTAGTAGCATAAATTTACTTTATTTAATAATGTATTGATTTTTATTATTAATATCATTTTATTAGAGGTGAGATTATGACAAAATAAAATTTTTAAAATTATAATCTATATAAAATATCTACATTTTAAATATTTGCATATAAAATATAACAAAATTTTAGAAGGTATTTCATTATAGATTTTATTTATTAAAAATACTTTAGTAGCATAAATTTCCTTTATTTAATCATGTATTTAATTTTATTATTAAAATCATTTTATTAGAGGTGAAGGTGATTATGACAAAATAAAATTTTTTAAATTATTATCTATTTAAAATATCTACATTATAAATATTTGCATAATATATAACAAATTTTAGAAAATATTTCATTATAGTTTTATTTATTAAAAATACTTTAGTAGCATAAATTTCCTTTATTTAATCATGTATTTATTTTTATTATTAATATCATTTTATTAGTTAGAGGTGAAGGTGATTATGACAAAATAAAATTTTTTAAATTTTATCTATTTAAAATATACTACATTTTAAATATTTGCATATAAAATATAACAAAATTTTAGAAAGTATTTCATTATAGATTTTATTTATTAAAAATACTTTAGTAGCATAAATTTCTCTTATTTAATTATAAATATAATTCTTAGAGGTGATTATGACAATGTAATAGAGGATGAAGATATTTTAATGCACTATCTGAATTAGATTGTCTTTCCAAAAATAAAGTTACTAAATGGGAAAAGGATTTTCCTAATCAAATAATAAGAACTAGTCAAAAAATTTTAGTTATTTATCTGCCAGGAGCTCGAGAATATGGGAAAGAGGCACACTCTATAAAAATGTTTTGACTTGTTCATAACATCAAAAATGATTAAAGAGAAACAATCAAAATAAAATAATTATATTTTACTTTGAAGCTTTTCCTTTTCTTCCATTAAACTTTTTCAGCAAATATAACTTGTTATGATTTGATATTTGATAATAGGAAATAAAATAAAACGAAATGATATTCACTAGGAAAATTTAATTACTTCTTTTTATTTTACTTGCAATAAAATATTTGCGAATAATTACGAATATTTATATATAAATAATTACGAATAATTTAGAATAATACGAATAATTTTCCTCATTATTCATATTCGTATTCGTAAAATACGAATCGAATATCAAATAACAAATAATTCGTTTTAGGCCTACTATACATCACGGCTTCCCAATTAGCAGAATTAATTGCCCTCGCACAAATAGATAAAGAGGCAGCGTCTACATGAGCGGGGGGGGGGGGTAGGAACAGTTTGCATCCTATTTTTTTGAGGAGTATGGGGTAAGCTGCTTTAATGGGGGTAGGATAAATTTTTTGGGGGGTTATATTTTGAAATGAAATAGGACAAAATTTATTGCTGTAAAAATTATACTTTTATTATAGTATTATTATAATACAATTCATCGACTAAATCTATATATTGCAAACAATCATACACATTGTTTTTAAAAGGTTTAGATATTTTAGCAAGCTCATAATGCCATAATAATTAATTCATTGTAAATAATGGTGGTTTTAATTGAATTTATTATCTAAAATATAAATTCTTTATATTCACAAAATATAGATAGTTGTTAGTAGAAATAGATTAATTTAAGTTATCCTTTATAAATTCTTTGAAAAGAGTATCAATAAATAAATAGGTGAAAATAATGAGAAAGAGACACCGCGGCCGAAGGCTGCGTTTTTTTAGGGGGATAGGCAAAGGTTTTTGAAGGGGGTTTGCATCCAGTGAAAATCCTGACATGTAGGCGCTGTAAAGAGGACGAGAAATTACCAAGTCTCAATATCTCTCCATCTCTGCAACCACCAAGAAATATTCCAGCGGACAATCCCTTTATCGGAGGTAACTTACAATATGATTTGAATATGAATAACAAAATTATATAAGTTAATAAAATATTAATGAATGTTTAAATGTATTGATAAACTTATCAAATGACCTAATTTAATTTAAATAATATTTTGAGTTATTTTATAAATCAAATATTTTAACAGTGATTATATGCGATTTAAATAAAAAATAACAATAGTTTTAAATAACGTTTAATTTATTATAATCATAGACTTATTTAAAGAAAGGCAGCTATTTTGAAAATGGCAAATGCAAGATTATTTTATAATATTACAGAATTAAACAATTTATTTTTGCTTATTATTCTTTTAAGTTAACAGTTATAGAGATATTTACACATTTGGAAGAGTGGGAATTTGATCAGTTAATTTGCTAAGTATTCTATTAATATACTCATGTTCAAGATATTTTATTAGTAACATATTGGACTTCCTCACCTTATGACATAGATGCGAAAATCTATCGTGATGAATAAAGCATTTAAGATATATATTCTTGAATATTTAAAATAACTGACCACCAAAATAAATTAGCCTATAAAATCGGTGTCTACATGTCAATATTTTCAATAGATACAACCCCTCCCCCCTCTCAAATATCTATGCCTACCACACTGAAAAATCATTAATGTCAGTATTACTAAAGAGAGTTAATTTAAATATAAGTTAAAATATCACGTTACACCGGTACTGCTCAATTCTAGGGCGTGACTATACTTTCATGGTAATCTTAAACTCACTAATAATATATCTCCACCTGTCATCGAAAAAATATATTTATTAGATTTATTAAAAATAGATATGTCATAGATTTTACTTGATACATGATTGCAGCGCTAAGCCAACTAGTGTTGACAAGCAACAGAGCTACGCTAGGGTTTCCTCTAATTCATAAAACTGGATATTTAATTTAGGGAAAAAATGAGGAGCTCTTCACATCTTCGTGAGTAAGCCACACTTATTTGTATGCGCAATAGTTCTAAGCTATTGCTTAGCTAAGATCAAAAGAATTAAGCAAATCAACGCATATAATTAAATTCTAATGGTGTTTATGTAGTATTATAAATAAATTGATAGTCTTACTGTCACTTTGACCATCTAAAACATATTTAATAAAATAAATTTTTAATCTTTCTATTCCATTATGAATTTTATAATAAAATTAATATAATCTGGATTGTATTTTGGTAACATTTCTTAAAAATTAACTGACCGTTTAATGCTGAGATGCGTTTTTTTTAATATAAATATTTTAAGATTTAATGTATTATATCGAATTTGGATTTAACCTAAAGGAAAATTTTTTTAATATATATGTTATTAAACTTCTAGGTTCCTTCACGCGTACAAACAAAATTGAATTTACTTTGCAATTAATCAAATTCAATATCTATTTCAACCGAATCTTCCAGTCCCAATCATAGAGTTTAAAAATAATATTTTATTTGATAAGATGTATAACAAAAAATGAAGAATAATACATATTAATTTATTTTAACATATTCCTAAAATTTAATGATTGACATATCAGTCATCGGTAAACTGATATTTTTGAAGTCAGTCATGTTTGATAGGCCATCCTCAACAACTTTTAGTATAATCTAAACATGTTCAATAATGTACAATATCTAAATATTGATTTGGTATATATTCAATATATTCAAGGAACTTTCAATGTCCCAATCATCACTCTATGAGCACTATGAACACAGATGAGGATGTCATAGACGAATTGAATAATGAACATCCTTACTCTACTTCAGAAAAGGATCTTGAGCCAATTCATAATGGGGAAAAATTAAAATGGGATCATCCTGTAAGCTTTAATAATTATAATTGTGTACTTAATTTTTTTCCACATTTCTCACCTCTATTTTATTTTTCAATATAATTATTATATAGGCTGGTATTGTTGGGAAAAAAATAGGTTCTCCAGCAATCTATTCATGTGAATTATGTCATTTGCCAATAATTATATATGGAAGATTAGTAATCTTAAATTTTATAAAATTTATGTAAATTTATTTAACCAGATGCCATGTAAACATACATTTTGTTTTTCTTGTTCATTCAATTTAGAGAATGTATATTGTATAAGGTAATATAATAAAAAAATTAACTTTTATCAAACCAATTATAGATGCAATACAAAAGTTGATACTATTGAAAAAATTTCATTAGGTATGGTATTTTTATGCAAAGAAATGACTTCTCAAGCTAAAATTTGTAATACATCATATTTATCATCACAAGAATTGCTTAATCATTCTAAAAATCATAAAATTGAGTCTACTACACCTATTTCAAATATATCATCAGATTTAAAATCAAAAAATAATATTTTAGACAATTTGTTTTCAACACTTACTTCACAATCATTAATTAATAATGAGCTTTTAATAAAAAATAAAAAAGTTACCTCTAGTAGTCTTATTTTATCTAATCTAAAGTGTTCAATTCAAAATGAATACCAATACAAAAATAAACTCCCAGATCATAATGACAATAAACAAAATAATTTAAATTTATCCACTTATAAAAATGACTATATTTATGAAAAATCAAAATCCAATAGCTTAAGATCAAAAAATTTATATGCACCTTCAGAATCTACATTATTTTATGTGTCATCTGCTCTTAATAACAATAATAATCAACAACTCAGTAAAAGGAAAAGAAACTCCTTTTCAATTTCTCAACAAGAATCCGGATTTAAAAAACCTTCTAACATTAGTTATAAAAATAAAATACCCACCACTTTGATTAACAGTTCTGAAGGTTATTACGAGTATAACACCAAAGCTAAAACTTATGATTTAAACATATCTACTATAAAACCTCATTCCTCCCAAATGTTGGTTACTAATGTATATGAAACTCCTAAAGTATTATCTTTTAATTCACCCTTGATTAAAAAAAACTGTTCTATATCTCAATCAACATCTCATTTTAAAACAACGCAAAAATGTTCTGGAAATTTGACAAATTTAAATAAAATTGTTAAACACTCAAATCCATTATTACACGATATATTTAATAATATGGTTCCTCCCCCTCCCCCTCCTATTTTTCCTAATATGAAAAATTGCGAAAGTAATCTTATGGTCTCAAATCAAATTGAACCAACAATTTACACTGATTATAATATAAATTTAATTTATAATAAATCTTATCCTGATATAAATCATTCTGGAGACATTTCACCTTCAGTGAAATATTCTTCTAACCACAATTTAAATATCCAATCTTGCATAAATACATCAACTAAAAATGATCAATCTTTCAATACAAACTCCATGTTTCACCAGATACTATGTGCACCCCCACCACCACCGCCAGAACCATCCTATTCATCTTGCGATTACAATAGGATTCCGAAATCGTTATACAAAAATGTTGATCCAGCTGCCTTATTGTTACTTAATCTCTCAGCATCAGGTCATTTGGATGAAGAAATATCTAATATGGATTTTATGAGGATATCCGGTAATGATAAAGAATCCCTTGAATCAATTAACATGATCATGTCGCCTGTCCCTCACTCGGTTTTTGAGTATATTGATGATCACCATGGTAATTTAAATTTATGTTTGCCTCACTCATCCAACAATACATTTACACATGTTATCAATAATCAAAATACAAATATATATAATTCAACATCTAGTTGTATCCCTTACAATGTTTTAAATTCCCAGCCATATTTTCCTATTAACATATCTAACAATGGTCGAAATAAATCTAATAGTATTGATATCAGTGATAGATTAAATTCAAACACTTTAATAGCGTCCAATTTAAAAGAGAATTCGCTGTTTTATTCCCATTATCCTGGCATGTATTCGCCAAAAAGCAATACATATTTACACAATTTTAGTTCTCAATCGAATATAAATATCAGCAGCCAAAATTGTAATACTGATAGCTTCAAAAACCTGCCATCTTGTGATTATACAAACAAGCAAAATTACCATGAAAAACTGACAGGCTCCTTATCCAATTTTGAAGTGGCCATGAATTCCGTTGATGGAATTCGACGCATGGCATCTGACATGTTCAATTCTATGAACTCGACCAATAAAAATGCCAAAGACATTGATCAATGTAATATTCTCCCACCCAGCGATAATCCGGGCCCGTCCAATATAAATTATGCAAATCAGCTAATACCGCCACCCATGTTCGATCAGATCACCCAGAATTCCAATAATTACATGAATTCTTTCGTGAATCAACACTCGCAAATGGATAATTCTATCGGAAACGCCTCTTCGATTTCGCCCAACGCCTTTCCTTATGTTCCTTTTCCCTATTCCTCTCTCGTCAACAAATTGACTCACAACCCCGAATTAAATTTAACGACGGACCCGTCAGTTCCTTTTCATTATCCTTACAAAATACTTCCACCTGGAATTTCGGCCAAACATTATTCTCCTTTCAACGCAATGTCACCGCATCATTTTCCTCCCCCCTCTCCCTTTTCCCCTCCTTCGTCCGCAAATATGACTCATAACTCGAACCATTACTCCCAACATTTGCATAAAATTCCTCATTACTCTATGCTTACGCCATTTATGAGCAGTCAAACATCTCTACCATTATCCCAAATTACTCCTCTACCCGTACATAGTTTTACTGATCACTCGAAATATCTTAATAATAATAATCCCAATTCTTGAATTTGTTGTATTATATATTTTTTTTCCATTCAACCATAATCATGTGTTGTATATAATAAATAATATATATTGTTTTATATATAAAAAAAGACTAATAAAATTTCGATTCTTAGAAAACCTAATTGATTGATTTATGAATCGATAATTGAGTTAGTAAAATAACTAGTTCTTCGATGATCTGTTTCTGATTTCCAAAATGATCCTGACGAACTTAATTTTATCAAAAAAGGCCGGACATTTTTAACCAGAGTTTCAAAAAAAAGAGCTATTTTTTTTGATGATAAAAATTTGAAGATTTTTATTTTTATATCAATTTTATTTAATTTGTGATTTCTTTAAAGACCTTTTATATAGTTTTAGCGAGAAAAATATTGCCTAAACCTCGAGCTTTGTTTAATATATGTCTAGATCTTTGTTCCTACTATGAGCAAATTCTTCAGGCTTGCGTAGTATTTTTCTGGATCAAATTTTGATTTAGCCGTTTTTAAAAATAGGCTCAAAACGAGACGTTTAGCAACACTAGTTTATATATAAAAATCACCAGATTTACTTATAAAAGATTTTTGCAAAAATTATTAGGAATTTAAGGTACAAAAATTTGATTAAAAAAAATTTTTTTTTTAAGCATAATAAAAAGCAATCATACTCTTTTAGAGAATCATTTTGAAGAGCATTTCAAACTATGAGGGACTCTTATTTCAAAAATTTTATTTGATCTTAGACTTATCTTTTTTTTTAAATCTTCGCAATTTTTTTTTCTTATAGAACTTTGAAACCCGTTCATCTGAAAATTAGAAAACAATTAAATTTAGGTTGTTTTTATTGTATATTTATATCTTGCATGGAAGCAACAACTTTGGGTTGAAATTAGGGCTGTGCCAATATTAAATATCGGATCGGCACCGATATTTAGCGTTTTCCAAAAATATCGGATTGGGCCGATACCTTTAAAAAACCGATTCTATATTTTTACTTTTTTTGTTATTAATTATCATTATTATAATATTTTCTAAATAATTTTTTTTAAACAATGCAAATGCACAACACCCCCTGAATTTTATTTATTTTTTTAAATAGATTTATTAGTATTTTAAAAGTTTTTTTATAAAAATAGAAGGAAACACCCAAAGTTTTATTTATTTTAAATCTTTTTAAATAATGAATGCCAATTTTATTATTTTATTGCCAGAAAATCTAGAGGCTCTCATAATTATTTTTAAAAAATCTAATATATTTTAATTTTATATATTTAGAATTTTATAATTATAAAATGGATTTATTATTAAATATATTTTTTTATCTATTATACTATAATTTTTTTTTTGATTATAGTCTTAATTGTAGAAATGAAAAATTTTAATTAAATGCATAATTCGATTTTTTGCATGAAAAATAATTATTTCCTAATTACACATGGTTTAAAGGGGGTGGTGAAAAATCAGTATAAAAATCGGATCTGTTTTGAACCAATATCGGATCGGTGAAAAATAGTGAATTGGCATAGCCCTAGTTGAAATCATTGAACCTGAATATTTCTGTTAATTTATAAATAAATTGTTTTATGCGAGAATGAGGTTGTACAATGTCACATCCCACCGAAAAAAAACAAAACTTGTCAACTCTCAATCGTTCATTCGATAAGAGATTTTTCCAACTTTTCATTGTCCTATTTTGCCGTCGCCCTGCAAAACTTGTTTCCAATTATGAATTGATTGCATTGACTCTGCCTTTAGATTCCCAAAGAATGACATGGGTTGAACTGTCTATGACAGGGTGGACTCAGTGACATGCCGCTAGAAACTTGAAAATCAGGGGCTCGCAACCACTAACATTCTTATTTGCTCGAGTCAGCCAATTTATTAACAGATTAATCCCACCAGCTTCTGGGAAAATTAATTATTTCGATTTTTATCTGCATTTCATCTTCCTCAGCCAATGCCAATAATAATACCATCATAAGAGTACCTTATGCAGAATCTAGGAAAATTAAAAAATAAATTAAATTCTTTATTCACTTCTATAAGTCATCTACTTTAGGAATTTTTTCAACTATAATTTTCAAATTTTTAAAATCTTTAAGTTCAAAAAGAAGGACCTATTTAATGATCCCAGGGAATTTTTTTCTGAGATAAATCATTCAGATCAGAATTTTTTAATTTAATTATAATTCCTTTTTAACTCCATTATAATTTTTAAAAATATTAAATTTTGTTATTTTTTAACATAAATTTATATATTTTTGTATTCGGTAGTTTTTATAATTTTTAAAGATTGTTGCAAATAAATTATTTTTTAAGCCGTTTTTATTTCATAAATTTTGTTGTAGTTGTTTCATAAATAAGTTTGAATTATAAGGCTTTTTATGATGTTCACCAAAGTAAATTGCTCAAATAAATTTGAAAAAAAAACTTAAAAACTTAACACATGCTCCTCATCTAATTAATATTGTAAAAGGGCAGTTTTTTTTAGAAAAGTAATATTTCTTAAAATGACCCTGTTAAATAATAAATCTACTATCAGTTTCTATAAACAACTTAAAATTTTTCAAAACACTATATAGAGCAGTTCAGTGATGTAACCAGGATTTTCCAATGGAGAGGGGGGGGGTGCGCTAGTGTTTAATGCCTTAACAAGTACTTTCAATTCCTCACTCAAATTTGAGAACCACGAAATTAAACTGAGAAAATTATGACGTTACGCTCTAAGCATGAAATGAGCCAAGGGTTCGGAAACACAAATTCTGGACCTTATACTAAACCACTAAGTAGGGCTTTATTAGTATCTTTTATTGCTTTATTCTCTTTGGTAGTTGATATAAGGAAAAAAATTATTGGTAAAAAAAATAAAAAATGTCAAAATTTGCATCATACCAAGAACGGAGAATATAAAGTTCTAACTATCTGGTTTGCGTTAATATTTAGTGCCTTCCTTATTAATTCTTTAATCAATTTCGCTAACCATTAAAAAAGTAACCAAATTATGAACCAAAAACTAACTATTGTCATATATATGTATTTTTTTGGGTTTGCTTATTAAAATTTTTGTAGAGTCATCATTGAATATTATATGTTTATAAATTTAATTTTTTTTTTACCAATTCATCGCCGTAAAAAGAAATATTATATTCTTTTTATATTTTTTTAAATAATTTTGGAAAACTATATAATATTTATTTTTAATTTTTTTTTAAAATTAATTTTCTTTGAAATTATAAACTTTGTTTTATTTATAAATTTAATATTGTTGGTTGAAATTACGAAAATATTCAAATTAAATAATGAAAACTATGATATCACGTCTTAAGCGTAAAGTTAGGCAAGCATTCGGAAACATTATCTCGAAAATGCGTTTGTCATACATCTTTACTGCTTGGTCGATAATTTAAAGAAAAACATTTTTAGCGGTATAAAATAAAAGAGGCCAAAATTGGCATTATGCTAGAATGAAAATTTTATAATTAATGAACTATATGTAGCGCATGATTAGTACTTACTAGTTCATGGATCAGTTCTGTCAATAAATAAAAACCAGTCATAAGCCCAAATAAAAATTACCGCAAATCTTAGACTGAACCCTCCTCCCATTTTTTCATTGAAATTATAAATACACAAAAAAGATGTTTATATATTTACTTATTTTCTTTTGACAAAAATGGGACCCTAGGCCACCTAGGCCATCATTATTTTAAAGATTTTAGGTTAAAAGAAAAGTATTAAGGGTTATCATGGATTCTCTTTTGAAATGTTATAATCAACTCAAATCGATGTATTTCGAGGCAGATCTCAAAAAGAGTCCTTAGACCTTCCCTCATGTTGTTTTTTTAATTTATTCATTTTTTTTTTAAAATGGCATAATTTTTTTTAAAAAATGTTATTTTAATATAGATTTATATATCATGAATATTTTAAAAAAAATTGTCATATTTCTATATTTCATTTTCATATACATATATAACATTTTTCATTAACAATTTGCAAAATTTGAAAGAAAAAAAAAATTACAGCTTAAATTGTAGATCTTCACTGAGATAATAAATTTTAAGAAATAATTTTATGTATTTTTAAAATAAAATTTCAATCATAATTATTGCGCCATAAAATGAATTATATCCCAGACAGATTAATAAAATAAATCCAACATTTTTCAAGGTATGCCATTCCTGCCTTTTCGTATATAACTTTAAAATAGCTTGCCTCTAATATTATGAGGTAAAAGGATGCTGTCAAAAAAAACAACTTGATATTTCATTTTATCGAAATTATAATTAATTTCGTTGTGTAATTTATTTTAATGATTAATAAGTGTATTCAAAACCAAGTCCAACATATCGAAAAATAGATAAAGTCTAAAAGCGGTTTGAATTATATGATAAGCTGTTGGTTATATTCAATATTATGATCAGAAGATCTGTAGCTATGAAAACATATAAGATGCAGTGGGGTTATACCAGAAGATCCACATTTGAGATTTCTAAACAAATGTCCTATATTTCAACTTTTAAAAAAATAAAATTATATTTTTTTATTTATTATATATGGGAAAAGTATATTTTTTACAATTAAAAAAGAGATAAGTTTCTAAAATAACAAAAATAAAAAAATCAAAGACCGATCTTAAACCGTTATCATTTTCTGGATATCAGCCGTTTGAATTTTGGCGCCAAGATAAAAATCCTTTAAAAAGGTTAAATTTTTATTTAAAAAATAGCAATCGATAGAGAGTCCTTTCTTCTTCCTACTGGGTGCCTCAAAATTATTTTTATAATTTTTCACTATTTTATAAAATCAAACGTTAAATTTAGAATATAGCCTGAAGTCTTGGCCCCATCTTTCTGAAATTTTCACCTTTTTTTAAAATATTTTTAAAAAGGGATCAATTTGTGCTGTTATAAACTCGATTTGTACCATTATAGTTTCTGAGATATTCGTTTTTGAAGTGGCGCATAATAAATTAAAATCACTTAATGAAGATTATAATCATCTTAAATCAGAGTCCAGGTTCTGCAATAAAAATGTTAAAAGGCAGATTACAAATATATACGATTTGGATAATAAAACATGA